CATTACCAATGCCGCAGATCTTGGAAGTAACCTTGCATCCAAATAGGCCCAAATACTTTGTATCTCTGAGGCTGTTTCGCCTATGGAACAAGTGACTCTGGTTTGTAAAGACTTCATCTGCAGCTGGTTTGTGAGCAATCATGCTGGATTCACTGGAGTCAAGAGCAGATCCAGATGCACTAGCAGTGGCACTAGTGGCAGAACTTGCGCGGCTAGCAGAAGCAGGCGGTGGGTTCTTCAGGCCACTGGTTGGGAGAATACGACGCGAGAAGGGCGCAGCGGTATTTCCTGCAGGTTTGCGATGACCGGTCAAAGGAGGAAGCTTTTCTCCATCGTCCGAAGAATAGTCCTCCTGTTCTTTTTCCTTTTCGTGACGCTGGCGAGAAGCAATGGAAAGGCCTTGGGTGGTACGTTTGTTGAACATCCTGCGCGAAGAAGAAGAATGGGCTGTTGTTGTTGTCGTTGTTGTCGTCGTCGTGGAAAGAGGACTGAGTATCTCTGCGAAATCTCCTTTGCTGCTGAAGGAAATTGTGGGATACATGCGGAATTGTGATACAATAGACTGGGAAAGCTTCGAGCTTGGAGCGGAACAGCATCATTGTGGTTTTCGAAATTCTACGCAATGCCAGAAATCCATTAAGAAACCAATATCAAGCCAACCAACGGCGTATTGCATATCCAAATGACCAGCGGAGAGCGCCGGAGCCGCCTACCATCATGGTCGCAACTGAAAGCAAGCGCAAAATAGCCAGTAATCTCATCTTGATGGCAGTTGTGGATGGATCGATCGATCCAATGGACAGTGAGTTTACGTTGTGGAAAGCCAATGTATGTGGGCTACGAGCGAGCCTTCAAGAAACCATTTTGCTGCGGTACGTCCAACAATTCTGTGGCCAGCTGCGAGCCTTGGTTTCTCAGCTGTCTGGTATCAGATTTGCCTGACAGGCCTCAGCAATCTGATAAATGTCAGTTGAGTGCTTGACTGCGCAGGAATTCCTGCGTTCCAAGGAACTCCTGTGTTCCATAGAATTCCTGCGGGAATCAGTGATTCCTTCTTCGTAAATTCCCTGGCTCCTTGGCTAAGGAATGCGCTCTTTTAAATCTTAAGGAATTATGGGGGAATTCCGGGAATAAAGGAATTCCTCCAAGGAGCGAGGAACTTCTTGGTGTGGATTGATCATTCACATTCATCATCCATTCATTCGCTCGTTAGTTGGCGGCTTGCATCGACTTTCCCTTGATCGCGCTGGATCGCTTTATCGTGGCGTGGAATTTTACTTTTGGCGGGTGCATACGATAAGTTAGTCTAGTCTGCCGAGTCAGCTTGGTCGTGAGTCAGCTCAGTCAGCAGTCACAGTGACGTTTGAGTATCTTCCGTTTCCTCAGAGACTGACGAATAACACCCTAAGTAGATAAGCTGGCATGCGTCCATCCGACATTGTCTCTTAAAAGGCAGATGCTCCCACATCCCAGAGTAAAGGAAAAGGGGACATCCGAATCTTTAAGAAACAACAGAGCTCTCCACATGAAACTGGATTACAGAACGCTTGCGTAAGGTGTATTCGAGTTCTCTGAAGTGTAAAATCTTCTTCCGTATGGATGAAGTGCATCATTACTCGGAAGCTCCGTCTCAGCCTCCCCCTCGCTCTCCCTCGAGAAGATGGCTTGCCATTCATAATCAACTTCCGGGAAACCAACAATCGGTCACAGCTGTTGACATCCTTGTCCTTGTTGTTGTTGTTGCTGTGTTGTCTGCTGCTTGTCGGAAGTATAGCAGCAATCCACTGTCTCATTGCCAAGAAAGAACATAGAACTTGAAGTCGATAGTTATCAGAAAGAGCACTCCTTTGAAGCTTAGCCAATGCTCCGCACCACTACCAAAATGTCAGAAGAGCAACAACAACAACAATCCACCAAACCCGTAAAGGGGATTGAGCCGCGTCCCGAGGATGGTGCGTAGACCACAGATGTGTTGCGATGTTTGGAGGGAAGTTGGATACCATGCCATCACTTACCCGTGTCTCCCTTGCTTTCGTCTCATCTCCTGGCCTGGATGGAGCAGTCTTGTGCGGTAAAGGTGAGCTGAGCGAGGAGGATCACAGACGAACGGGAAAGAGGCCCAATCGTCTCCCGCAGATACGCCCTAGTTCTGGCTAGTCTAGCTAGTGTTGTACATTCTTCTAAACGACTTCGTTCTCTTGCTGCCGATCTCTGGACAGATAAGCACTGCGTGCATGCTCCAGGATCGATCAGATTTAGAAGTATCATTGAGTCTTACCGAGAGCGATACGCCAGCTCTTTGACCAAGGTATGTGTCAAGGAACAGGACGTCCTTTGTTGTTAACATTGTTCCGGAGGTTCACATTCTGATCTGATCCTTCTCTCCTCTGGGTTCTCCAAGTTTGACAAGATGACAATCACGTAAGTTCACCGTCGGTATCAGCCAAAATCACCCATGTTTTGTTTAGATGCGACCTGACACTCTCGCTCCACTTGTCTGTCTGTCTTGTTTGCCAGCAAGGAGATCTATGAAACACTGCGTCAAACGTCGAGGTTTCTGAAGTTCAATCCAAAGGAAAAGGTGTGGGAAGAGGTAGGTGGAATCTAGAGCTGGTGCGGGCGAGATGTTCTCACCGGCTGGCTGGAAGCCCTCCTCGCCTGCTGTTTCCGGATTCGAGGTTCCTCACCCTTCCGTCCCTCCCGCACTCTTTCTACCTCAGATTAGTCCCATGGCCGCGAGGGATAAGTGTGGCCATGCTTTGCGATTCGCCAATCGCCTCAAGAGCAAGAAAAAACATTCCGCGGCTCAAGAACGGGCCACTGCCACCTTGGCTGCTGCTCCCGGAGTGGTTACCCCAAGCATGTCGTCATCTCCCACCTCCACAAGTCTGGCGGCAGTGAAACCAAGCAGCGCTACAACGGGAGCTTCTGCCGCCGCTGCTAAACTACCACCTTTGGTGGGTCAGGCTGCTGCTGCACCCGTGGCTCAGGCTGTCTTTGGGGCTCCGCAAGGCGGACAGCAGGCGTTGCAAATTCCGGCATCCCTGTTACAGCAGCATCAACCATCTGCACAACATTCCGTTACCAATACCCAGCATCAGCTCATCTGGGGCGAGTTGTTGAAGAGATATGACACAATGTGGAATTCGACTCAGATTCCAACGCTGGCGGGGCTCCAACAACACCTTGTGCCTTCGCCAGTGTCAGCGGCTGCTGCCAACCTCATTCGGGCGGCCGCCGCGGCTCACCCCATTGCCCCTGCTCCGGCACAACAATTGCCACCCCTGATGGTTGCAGCGGTTCCTCAGTCAGCTCCGGCTCCGGGTAGTGGTGAGAAAGCCACGGCTGCTCCTGCCGCTTCTGCCAAACCATCCACTGATTCCTCCCCTCCTCCTCCTCCTGTTGTAGCTGCCCCGGCCAATGTCGAAGGCGTTGCGGGAAGCAGTAGCATCTTGAGTGGTTTTGGGTTGGGTCCTGCTGCAGCACCCGCTGCTGGATCCCCCACTCCTGCGACGGGTGTCGTCAACCAGACGCGGAAGCCAACACTTGACGATCTTTGCTCGATTCTCTTGGCAGCGAAACAGCAAAATGCGGGCGGCAACTGAAGGGAGTGTGGTATGCGGATACAGAACATGAAGAAGAAGAGTGACGTAGAACACAGGAATCCAACCGGGGACATACTGTTACATTAGTTAGTTAGTTGTGGTCACTCTGACGAGATACATTAGTTACATTTTTCTTCCAAAGCTTCTTTGCATATCGTAGTAGTACCGGTACGGTACCAGTAGTAGCGATGAAATGAAGCTTATATCTAGCTAGTTTAGTAGACCGATACGTGGGAAGACCTGGTTGTTTCAGTATGATCCTCTTCTGCGAGGCAAGTCCGACAGGCGTGGCGTCCTTCGTCGAGAGCCGTGCTGGCCAACGTTGTCACTAACTTTTTGGATCGTTTCAAATGCTCGCACTTGCCATCCTTGTGATGAAAGGCTGTCCCGTACGCTGTTTGCACAACATCATAGTCCCGAAAGCGGCGCCACATGCCCCGTCTGGAGGCTTTCGCCTCCTTTTGAAGCGCCAGTAGCTTGTTCTTGCTGCTCAGCTTGGTGCTTTTGGAGGGTGTGTAGACTGACGCTAACCCTTCTTTCAACAATCCCTCATTGACACATTCAAAAGTGCCGTCATCGTTGGGGATCCATACCCAAGCCAGAAGTCTCCCAAATCGATCTTCTTGCTCTCCACCCGTTTCAAACGATATCCAAATGTGTTGCTCCAAACAGCGTTCTTTCGTGTATTCTCTGGCTTCTTCCGAGAATGCTTGTTTGGGCTGTAGTTCTGGCGTGTCAATGCCGAGCAGTCGTACGCGCCGCTTGTTGTAGAGAGTGATGGTATCGCCGTCGTACACGGATTTCACCTTGCACTTTTTGGACTTTGGTGGAAGACGATCATAGTAAGGAAATAAATTAGTATTTCTCCCATTGGTTGGTTGCTTGGATCCCTTCTTTTTCTTGACCTTTGGTGTTCCGAGTGGGTTGACGGTTTCTTGGTTGTTGGCTTGGCTTCTTCGCTTCTCGAACCGTTCTCGGTGAGACTCTGGAACGATCGGCTGCGTCGTCTCGTGCAAGGAAGAGTTCAACCTGGAAGATGACGGTACACAGCCCATGATGAAAAACTTCTATGAAGGAAGGAAGCAATTCACAGCCGTGATCGAGGCGGTTGATGAGTGATGAGGTCATCATCATCGTGGAGTGTTTCGGAGAATTGTGGCCGTTCTGTTTTCGCCAGTGCCGCCTTGCGCGTGAAATGGGTTTAGTCGAGTCGAGTCGAGTCACTGTTCAGACGTCATTAAAGTTTACAGACTCGACTCAACCCGATCACCCGATCATATGACATTGTGCTCAAGTCCAACACAATACTTGTACATACACGTACCGGAAAGGACAATAGAGAAATGTCGCATAAAAGCAGAACTATTTGCTAACCAGGTGGTAGACTCCTTACTCTGGATACCCTGCGTTCCCATCTGGTGGATCAACTATAAAATATCACAAGGGCATTGCTTGCGGGATTTCAAACGGTAGGTGAAGCGCTAACAGAGTACCGGTATCAGCAGTGTGCCTCCAAGGAGAAAAAGGATTTTCATGTCCAACAAAATGTGAGCGCCATCAACACATCATGAAATTGGATCAAAATCCCTTGAATCCTCGCGGTCACCAGATAAGCTCTACTCATCCAGAAGTGATGTTGTTTCTAAACGTAGATGTTTCAAGCATGATATGACCATCTCATGCATGATAAACACCGCTTTTACGGACAGCTCTTGGCTTGACACTAGAGCGGTTGTGCTTCCCAGTTTGTTGTCGTGTATCATAATATGTGGGCCGTTTTGTTGGTAATTGAGAATAGCGGTAATCTCCCGCTTGACTCTCCAAATCATCCGAGTCACCAAAGTCCATGGATGCAAAATCCAATCCTCCAAACAAATCTTCTCTGGACATCTCATCCGCGGCCATACTATAGCTCTTTGCATCCCAAGCATAGATAACAGTAGTTCCACACAGGAGATCTGCAAGGCCACGCCGGTCCTCACGTACCAAAGAAAATATTGTCCCCAGCCAAATGACAATGAAACTCAACATGTTGGTAAGAAAGGACCTCAAGATTGCTTGGTAAATTGTAATGTGCCTAACCTTTCCCTTTCGCGAGTCAATCACAGCCAACCCCATCCAACTCTTTCCAATTGTAGTCCCAAGAGTAATCATAAGTATTGCATCGGCAAGAAACGCACATAGGCTGCTGGTTATGAGCGGGACACCAACGGAAAGCAAGAACGTCTCCCTGTTCTCGTCCTGCTGTTGCTGATTCAAGAGTGCGATTTCTTGGGATGTCACAGCACCATCTGAAACAGCCTGCAATCCTTCCTCAGAAATCTCATCTTTTGGTATCAAACCAATGAGGGCATTGACAATAAGAATCAACAGAAGGGACAAGGAAATAGTCAAACCCTTGTCAATGGCATAAGCCAAAAACCGAGAAAAGGTCCCAGCATTGCGACCTTGAACAGCTTGAGCCAGTAGAGTGGATTTTTTGGGGCATTTCATGGCCCTTCTTGCTCGTTGATCTGCCTTGTATTCCTTGTGATGAAAGAGGGGCTGTACCGTGGGCTTGGGTGGTATAGTCCATTTCCTCTTTAGCTTGTCACGGTCACACCAGGCACATCGACCAGTCCGTTGCACAATTTGATCAACTTTGATGCAAATCGCCCGAAATCGATTGACTACAATGGAACACATTCCCGATGCTGAAGCACGAAACAATGACCAGTGGATGAGGAATGATTCGATCTTGTTCAATTATGTTTCTTCAATGAAATTCAAATATCTCTGAGCGTTCAGATTTATTTCAACTTACTGGACCTGGCAATGATCTGTCTCAGGTTGGATCGCTCAATGACAGCATTGACATCGATTCGATCCACTACTCTGTTGACATCTAGTTTATCCAAAAGGACGTCCATGTCGATCTTGTCTAGCAGATTGTTCCAATCAATTTCGTCCACAATGTCATTCCAATCAATTTTACCAACCACTTCATTAAAGTCAATTCGTTGCACCACTCCGTCAATATCTACACCATCAAGTACTGGATTCACCATGGATCCTATGGCACTCGACAACAGGTTGGACTGGCGGACCTTGAGGTTGAGACGACCCTGCTGTCGCGGCAATGATTGCGACCGCCGCGGCCGAGATTGCGGTGTCATTGTGGAGGCTGTGGACTTGGTCGTCCTTGAGTTAGACTCGTCCAACATCTTTCTTTTTCTCGTTAACAACAAGAAGGGTTGCTGTTCTGATGTTTCTCCACGAAGACGGAAGTGGGCGAGAAAAATGACCTCTCGAGTGACCAGAACCCGGATGGAATAGATTCGATTAAGATTATTCAAATCGAGCTGTAGTAAATACTAACTCGCTGGCTTCTGGTTAGAGAGGTAGGTGTGGGCTGTCACAATGCCACAGACCAACCATGGAGCATCTTGCTGAGGCTCTTGGTGCTGCAGTAGCCAGCACCAGCAGTATACGCAAATGCGGTTGGTATTGATTTCCAGACTATATTTAGAAGAATGCCACAATAGGCGTACCGGTACTGGAAAGTGGGAACGAACATCGTGGAACTACAGCATTTAGTTAGTTGGTTTTTAAATATCGCATTCCTTGAATGCTGGATCTCTGTACCTTGGGCTAAAAGACTGTTTTGGCTGTAAAGCAAAAGTAAAATCAACTGTTTTAGTAAAACAAGATTCAGTTCTGTTTTCAACTGTCATTAATTGGAGATCAGGGAGGATCAAAGGAGAATACTGTATCCTTATTGAGACAGCTGTCTCCTTTTAGAGACGGTCATCTCAAAAAGGAGACAGTTCTCTTTAATCATTTCTAGAGATAAGGAAAACCATCAGCAATTTGATATTAATTATTGACCTCATCCCCCTTAAAACTGTCTCAACTTGGAGACTGTGGAGACAGCTGTCTCTAATTGGAGACAATAAGCCTTTTTATGAGACTATGAGTCTGTCTCAAAAGGAGACAGTATTCTCCTTTGATCCTAACTGATTCGTGTAAGACTAAAACGTCTAAACTCAGTTTTTCCCTTTTGTTTTTGTTTTTTTCTCATTGCTGGTCATTTACCTGGAGGTGCTGAATCTTTTAATTCGTACAGTGCGGTGCGGTGCGCAGGTACAAGAATCGTCAACGAAAATTCTCTACGAAATACTAAAAGACTGTCCACTGATAATTCAGAGGGAATACTAATACAACACTAAAAGTGTTCGGGGGAAGTGTTCAGGAGAAGTGTTCGGGAGCAGTGTTTGAGAGAAGTGAAACCAAATTTGCAGAGGAATGCGATTCTCAGGTTGCCTTTTGAAGGTGTTGTGGTTGGGGTCAGGTGGGCTCCAGATCACCCAGATTTCGAGGAGGTTATATTGAAGCTTTGATCATTTCTGGGTTGGATGTGGTCTGTGGCAGATGCTTCGCGGGCCCTCTCAATACTCTCCACGCATTGTCGTTTGATACTATTCTCGACGCCATCTGAATCCTCCAAAGTAACAGTGTGCTGGACGACAAATCTCATTTTCTCGTAGAAGCGTCGGTTTCTTTCTCCAGCTTCCAAGTACATCGCCTGGTTCATCTTATCAGCCATATCATTCAGTTTGGCCATGAGTTCCTTGCCCATTCCTTGACCTTGATGGTCGGGAACCACTCCTACCATGTGGATGAACCAATGCTTTCTCTCAGGCCCATGCTCAAAATGCCACTGGTCACACTTTTCTTGAAAGTTTCCCAGTTTTTGTTCCATTCTCTTGAGGCCAGCCTTCCTTTCTGGAGATTTGCAGAGGTCTGGAACTTTTTTTTGTTTACGAGCAGAAGACGCATGGTTGTGACAAGGCTTGCCCAACCTTCCCGTAACTTCTTGAATGGCTGCTTGCTCTTGTTAGTGCCATTGTCGTACTCCATGACAGATGCCAGCAATTTGATATCACCATTGCCATTCTCTGAACAGAGCTGAAAGCTTGGCTTCTGGATATCTTCGTCGAGCGAATATGCCATCATGAATTGAAACAGCTGCACTGGTTCCTCTGATTTGAACAAACAATGGTCAAAGCCCCAATCTAGGATCGGCTCTCCTCCAACAGTGTCTTACCCAGCAAATGCTTCATCAAGGGCACAGCGGAGCTTGTTATGATTTGCCTCCAACGTCCACTTGCTGGAATCCTTTGGTGATAATGGTGGCTTTCCCTCGTTGCATAGAGGGCTTGATCGACGGTCAAAGTGCTATTGTGGGCCATCATCGTTTTGACTGAGTTAGATCTAGTTTATGCTTCTCTCTTTTTTTGTTTCTTTGCTACTAGCTAGTACGGTAGCTAGTAAACGTTTTTTGGGTGGGCAATGGGCAAGGCTCCCATGAATGAATGAATCGAATCGAACCGAATCTCCAGCTTTTGCTGTTCGTAACCTCTGACAGCAAGATCTCACAAACTCTAAGTCTTGGTTCATCCTCGATTCTTGGATTGCTTCTTGGAGCATCTTCTTACGTCTTGCCGACGTTTCTCACTCAGGCTTTAAAACTTGACCGGACTGAATTCAATACAATTATGGGCGTGTTTTTAAAAGGGCTTGTTTAAAAGGGCATGTTGAAGCTTCGAGGGAGCGCTTCTTTATTTAAGGGCTTGTTTGCTCCTGATATGGGAGCGCTTCTTTATTTAAGGGCTTGTTTGCTCCTGATATGGGATTGTTCTATGGGGTTTACACGAAGGCTTAAAGGTTTGTTTTGAGAACTTAAGGGCTTGTTGCTAAGGGTTTGTTTTTAAAAGGGCTTGTTTCAGGGCTTTTGAAGCTATAAGGGCTTGTTTAAGGGCTTGTTTCCAATCCACGAAATTTATTTGAAGTTTTTTAAATCCTCAGTGAAAAACGAAAAACGTATCGGGCGGTCCAGATCTATGTACTACCTTTCTGTGGAATGTGAAATTTACTACCCTCGGAGGTGCCGATAACGGGACTCAAAGATATAGAGTGAAATGGCACGAAAATACGTCGTCAGAACAAGTTTTGACATTAGATGTTAGACGTTTTGCTATAAATCTTTTAATGTTGTTATCCGGTCTTCGTTCCAGCGCCAACCAAAACCAATAAAATAAAGGATGACAATGACAATAATAGCCGCACCTGACGATAGCGCAATCAGCAGCCAACTCTCTCTTCTGTTTCTGCTGCTATCCTGGTCTACTTGTAGTTGCGGCGGCCTTTGTTGGGCGTAAAGTGCTTCAAAGGTGCAATCTGCTGGGACAAGCCTTCTTCAAACTCAAAAGAATCATCATCTTCTTCTTCGATCGTCCCAATCTTTGCAGGCTGAACGATGAACTTCTTCCAACTAACGAACCGAATCGTTACAACGTTGCCTGCATCTGTGATCAAGACAATAAGATCGTGCGATTCTTCGACAATCCTGGAGACAAGATTATCATCCCGAAGACTTTGAATGATGGAGGCTACATCTTTCTCCGAAATGAAAGCGTTCGACGTGAGAGTTACCATCATATTGACATCCGATTCTTGCCCAAGCTTCATAGTCTCTTCAATGGCTGTGTACAGTTTCTTCATGTCCCTGTCTGACAATGACTCAAAGCTACTCTTACGATCAATGGCACTGGAGGCAGCAGTAATTGCAATGCGCATGCGTCGTGTGTTGAAGTTGGCTTCCGACATGGTGTTGATTTGAGCAGGCTGGTCAACTATTGACTGCTTTTGAAGCTTTGTTGCTTTGTGGGCACGCCACTGATGGGCGGCTAATCATGCAATCGCTGCTCCTAATGAGTAGGTAGACTCCGGCAGAGTTGGCGCCTTTGTTGGAGGAAACATACCTGACACCTCTTTACTATTGACTCGTGTATTAATCATCTAGTCCGGTTCGCATGTAAATTGATCATGCAAGGAACCAAGGGAGTTTTAGGTCTAAAGTGTTGCGGGGGTCCTTATATCCAATTCAATCACAAGAATTGCTATGCACCACCAGAAAATCCTCACTTTTGCTTTACAGCTTAATCTAAAACCAAATTACTCCCCAATAAGCTGCAGTATTACTAGCAAACAACACTGTAAAGCAAAAGGCCATCTCGAGTTACTACTACAGTTACTACTACCGATCTCGAGATCGATATCAAGGTAAACCAAGCAAGTTGAGTTGACTTGAAGTGAGTCAACACCTGCAACAGAGTAGAGGTGCGAAGAATCAGCCTCTAGCCACACTATCAGAGCATCGAAAAGCCTCTAACAGGAAAGAGGTGCGTGCGCGGGAAAGATTCTCATTCCCATTGTCGACAGTACACTACAAGGTACGCTGTAACTTCCGGCCGGAGTTATCTTATATCGCAGTACAAGCTAATGACGTTGAAAGAGGCACACGAATACACACCAAGTTACGTCTGGAGCAAGAAATCCGGCTAGTCTAATAGCTGCACTCGATTTAAACAGGATTACTCTGCGCTGTTACCCTTCCTGCGCCAGTATCTTCTCTGCCATTCTAATTCTGATCACATCACGATCCAGCTAGCATTCCCTCCAGACAACGTAAATCGCATCGCACGATCGATACTCTATTCGACCGCAACGAGCGGCGTTGCAGAACCACAGACCTACACTCACCGAGAGCTCAAACCACAAAAGATTTTCCGAACAACACTTGATTTACACAACACAACTGCATCAATCTATCCTGAATATTAATTTGTCCATTCGCTTTAGTATCTCTCTATACAATCATTCTCCCGGAAAGCTGGTCGTGATGCTTCAGGGTGAGTCCGAGATACCAGTTTGTAATGCGTTACCATCGTACCGGTACCGGCGCCGGTAGCTAATAGATGGATGGAACTAGGCAGATATTGATGAGACCATGTCGTTGATCCTCCAAGGTCCCACCATTCTACTCAGCAGATTGCAAAGAGACTTGATTCATGTTCTAGTGGTAGGAATCTTTGTTCAATCCACTACCATGCCCGCCATGGCCACCAGATCAAACATGGCATCCCATTTTGCGAGCCCATTTGAAAGCTTGTAGGGATCCAGGCTAATACCCAAGGTATTCCTACTGATGTATACTCCTCAGCGGTGTTCCCCTGTGTTCCCAGCCACTGAACACTGAACTATCCAAGCGCCTCATTCCATCCTCCCTAATGTCATCATAACACAACCGGCATCTGCAAGAGACTCTAGTTGAAAGACATCTCAAGGGAGTTACTGTTACCTCAACTACTTGTGTGCACGTAACTATTCTCAATCTCTTATTACGACCCACAAATTCGGGTCTGTATTTTTGCCTCCACCAAAGTAGCATAACAGAGAAGAACACGTTATGTTCGTTGACCTTCTCAACGTCACAAGAGGCTATCAACCCATACATCCAAGAGTGCACAAAGAAGCTTATGCCAGCCAACAAAGAACGCTTACAGGGCCACACAAGGAAGCAGTTGCCTCTTGAGATCTCTGAGATATCCACAACAAGTAGACCACTAGTTCCAAGGAACAAGCACGCACAAGAGAGCATTACCAAACCAACGGCAAACATGAAATTCCAAGGAAGAATAAGAAGAATTGGACATGTGGATAATGAAGGATACCTTTTCTAGATTCATTCGGGATTGCGCATTCAATTCCTCAGGCAGAAGCCACCAAGGAAGAGGGAACAGCAACAGGAACAACAACAAGATGTTCGCAAGCCGTCAGTCTCCTCTTCCATCCAATGGACAGGCCTCAACCAGTTTACTTTTAAGAGACCTGACAATCACATTGTCCAGATCTAAGTCAACCTGAGAGTATAGTTCCACTTGGCTGCAGGTTGGCCATTGTAACCTGACCCAAGTCACACCTACCAATGCGTGAGGGCCGACCAAGACAACACTCCCGACATCACTTGCTGATCCCAAGCCCAAGAGTACGATGATTTGGAACTCAGCGAGTACAATGCAAAGTCATCCATCTATGACAAGTCGACTCTATCCTATGAGAACATACTCAAGACAAGTGCAACCACCATCCAGATGACATACTGTACCGACGCCATGAAGTCCAAGCTTACAGGTCTAGGAGACTACGAGGCTGCAGTCAAGCTTGATCCCATTGAGTTGCTCAAGAGAATCAGATTGATAGTGATGAAAGGCTCAAACAAAGAGTTCCCATTACTACAATACATCAAAACCATCAAACGTGGCTTGTTCCCAAAGCAAGCAGACCATGACAGAGTTGATTTCTACTTGAGAAAGGTCGACATCGACGTTGATCAAGTCTAAGATCTAGTCGGAACGGCGCTCATTGATGCCAGGACTATCGGTTTAGCTGAATACAAGGCCGCACCATATCACGATGCACAAGAAAATATACTAGTGACGGAAAGGACTAAGTTGAAAGCAACCGTAGGATACCATGGCCTACAGGAAAGAAGATACGGAGACTACCAAAAGACCGTCGAGGCAGCCTATGCCATGAAACTGCCTGTTTATGGTGTTAGCCAATTTGCCCAGTTGGCCCTACCTACCACTGTGCATCTCTGATTTAATGAAAGACGACCCCGTTCAAATGACATGTACTTTCAGGCCAACCAAGTATGGTCGTGTACCAGCAGCGAAGCAAGGGAATCGAAAGCCAAATTCTCAATCCCAACCACCTCCTTTTTTGATACAAGAAGATGAAGGTAAGACCTCCCAGCTATGTTCTACTATCAGCCATATCCACGCGAAACCTCGCTACGTCGTGGAACCCCAGATCACATAACTTTCCACAGTCAAAGGTCCAAGCCAACATTCCCACTCCTATGCGGCCATCAAATCAAGTCAAATGCCAGCAATAAGTCCTTTCATGCCGCATACCATTAACTATCAGATTCACGCTCCAAGAGTGCCTACCACTAGTTACGGCCGCCAGATCTCCAGCTCCAGCTGGTGACTCTTCGAGCAGGAGTTGTTTCAGTGGAGTCCCTCCACTTCCTACGAGCCAGTCGAATTTTCAACAGTTTCCCATTTCAAGCCAAGCCTCCCAGCCCAGCGCGGCAGCGTCACTACAGTTCCATTTCCATCACCATCAAGTCGATAGAGTCCCGCCCCTGAGGGGCAGAGATGATTCCACCTCCGAAAGTGAGCCGGAAGAATACGTTGACTGGGGGCAATTCGCCTTTGATTTCCTTGGAGGAGTCCTGCTTTATGTGGAAGAGTGGAGGCGAGATGTGACATCATCAGAAGAAAGCTACCGCTCCGGCTACGGCTATGATCAGCTTGCTGAGGTATGTCCTGACGGTTTAAGCATCGGATCCGACATTATCCTCCAGAGGTACAGTGATACACATATTATAATTGTCAGTCTTTCTGCCCACCCTTACACCGTCTTCAACACAGAACCATTCGAATTATCATCTCTCAAGTGCTCAGACACTGATCTCAACCCGCCTTTTCGAACTACAGCATTCGATTACAGAGGAATGAATTCGCTTACCTGAAAGCCTCAGCGCGTCTACGGGGAAATCAGCAGCAGATTTGGATGAAATTCCAACGAAGACTCACTCTCACCGAAGACCACACTATCAAGGTCCTTTTGATCCAGGGAGAATCCATTATCTACAGGAGTTGCAGATCCAAATCTTGCAGGAGTTTCGGTCCAGAACCTCATTCCTGATGGACCAAACACAGTTTATCTCGACGGTGGCAGTTCCATCCGAACTTTCATGAATCAGGACATGATTGTACGCCAGCGGCTATCTCCGATACCAATCGAGATGGCCACTAATGTTGGAAGCACCAAGGTTACCCAAGAAGGTGACACATCTTACGGCAATGGTTATTTCAATCCAGGAGGCATCGCTAATATCAACTCTTTGTCTCTTTTTGTGGATGACTGCTTCAGGGCACAGGATGGATACTATGTCCTCATGGATTCAAGAGTCGACGACGCCATCTACCACTATCGCCCAACTGGGTTCCATACCAGGTATGGAAGAACCGCCAAAGGTCTGTTTATTGCCTCGGTGATTTATGCCCTCTTCGATCACGCTCACCTCAATCATTTTCATCCGAGTCCAGCATTTCCAACCAATCCTGGTGAGGCAACCTTGAAGCCTTTACCATTTAACAACCAATGATGGTATTCCAGAGCTCTTAACCACAACCTTCAGGCCACTCTAGATTATACCGCAAACATATCCGATCTCTCACTAATCCATCCCCAAAATCTGTTTATACACTCCATCTCGCCTAAATACATTTCGTTATGGACTACATGGGTACAATTCCAATCCTCTATTACACTGCATCACCCCCCACCATGAACCACTAGATCACTACCTTACTCCGGCATCATGACTTGCACCATCACAGTCACTACCCGCATCAT